GCTCTGCTTTCGTCCCCAGCTGGCCCTGCACCCGGTGCCCGCGGTGTGCAGCCCCCCGGCCGGTCTCCAGTTGGGCTCGGTGGAGAAGCTGGCCCCCCCGCTGCCCCTGGGACGCTGCGCCCTGCCGAGGGAGGTACGTCCCGCGCCCCCTTGGCTCCCCACCCAGCCAGGCTCCCTGCTGCTCTCGGCCCATAGACCAGGAGAGGGGTGTTGGGGGGCAGTTGCTGTCCTCGAGTTCCCCGGGCAGAGACGTGGGTTCTGTTGCAGGACACTGAGATCAATGGGGAGCTGCAGGGAGGGGTGGCAGGGGAATGGGGCTTGGGGTAGTGGCAGGATGGGCGCTGCCTGGGCAGGGCGAGTGGGGCCCTTGCAGGCATGTGGCTGCCCCAGACCTAGAGGCCCCTGCAGGAGCAGCCAAACCCTCCCCCCTTTTGTTTCCCTGGAGCTGGGCTCAAGTGCAGCAGGGCCCTGGGAGCCAGGACTCCTGGGTTCTGTGCCAGGGGGACCTCAGGCAGGTCGCATCCCCCTCAGTGCCTCGGTTTCCCCACCTGTGCACTGTGGGAGCAGGTGATCCTGGCTGGGCTGCTGAGTTGGGGCCGGGCTGGGGGGCCCCCATCGGATTGGGGGCTGCTCAGCCAGGCCCCTTGTGCCCTGGGGGGGGGTCTCCTGCCCACTCATGGCCTTGGGAAGGTGCAGAGACCTCGGCTTCCCAGGGCAGCGCTTTGGGCTGATGCTCAGTGGTGGCTCCTCCGGATCGGGGACAGGGGTCTGTCTTTGGGTCCCCAATGCCCGCCCCCCCAGGTTCAGGCTCCCCCCTGCTGCCCCCCACCCCCCGGGAGCAGAACCGAGGCTGGGCGCCCCCCATTGCACCGGGCCTGACAGAGCAGCTCTGGTTCCCTCAGGGGAGGGTCTCGGCGTGGTGGCTGCTGAGGATGTGGGGAGGGGTGATCCCGTTAACAGGGGAGGGAGCAGGGCACACACCCCCCCCAGCAGCATTGCCATGGTACCTGCCATGCTCCCATCCCAGCAGTGCCCAGGCTGCCCACTGCCAAGTGAGGAGGGGGGCTGGCGTATGTGGGTCACTCCTGTGAGGATCAAGCGCCCTCCATGGCTGGCCGTCCCCTTCCCCCCCGTCCCAGCCTGCAGCAGGGCGAGCCAGCCCTCTGCCCTTCCACAGCTCCCAGAGCAAAGGGGCTTCCCACCCCCCAACAACCTGGGCTCCCACTAGCCACCCCATCCCCACTGTCTGGCTGAGCCTTGGGACCGAGGGGGGCCCCAGAACCCCGTGTTCTAGGCCTGGGCCTACCCCTGTTGTCTGCCCCGGGAAGCAGCAAACGGCCACGGTGCGGCGTGCTCTGGCCGTGCCGCTGTCCGGGCTGGGGTCTGGATTATCGGGGGGCCTTGGCGTAGCTGGGAGCCGGGCCCCGGGCATCTCACGGCGTCTCCTGCCCCTCTCCCCAGGTGGGGTACGCAGGGCTGCGGGCAGGCGGCCCCGGCTCTCAGTCTATGGAGGCGTTGTCTCCGTTCTTCAAGAAGAAAGCACAGATCCTGGAGGTGCTGCGGAAGCTGGAGGAGACGGACCCCCTGCTGTGCCCCCCACCCTGCCAGCTGTCTCCCTGGCGGGACCCCAGCCACTCCCCTGCTGAGCCTGGCTCCCACAAATCCCTAGCGGCCAGCCGGAGCCAGCCGGAGTCGCCGGTGAACGGGGAGGGGCCCCCGGCTGCCACCCATGAGCTGTGGCCGTCCTGCCTGCTGCGAGCACAGAATGGCCTGGAGGAGGTGCTGAAGTGGAAGGGCGAGGAGGGGGGGGCCCTGGAGGCCGAGGGGGGGCGCCCCCAGCTGCTCCCCCCACTGTGCTGCCAGCAGAAGAGCGAGGGCAGCTCCTCGTCCTCCTCCGACGAGACGGGGGAGCTGGGGGAGCTGGGACCTGTGGAGAAGGGCCCCCCGGGCGAGGCCCTGCTGAGCACCCTGGCTGAGAAGAAGCTGGACCTGGGCCTGTTGCTGGAGGAGACCGAGTGCTACCTGCAGCACTTCCTGAAGCAGGGCTGCCCGCTCAACGGGGAGCCAGCCGCTGCCTACCGGCTGGAGGGGCCCCCGGGGGCACTGGGCCCCAAGCCAGGGGTGCTGGGCAAGGCCCTGACCCGGGACATGCTCACCGGCCTCTCGGTCATGGGCAAGTACCAGCCCACGAAGCCAGCGTCGGGCCCGGCCCAGGGCAGCGCAGACAAGCCAGCTTTCGGCATAGCCGCCGGCGGCCAGGACCTGGGGCCCTCCCTGGAGCCGGCCCTGGAGCGCCAGGCCTACATCAGCGTCTGCCTCTCCGGAGACGAGCCCCCCGAGAAGAGTGCCAAGGGCTTCGGCCAGACCTCGGCTCAGGGCAAGCCCAAGCTGCAGCCGGGCCCCCCGTCCCCGGGCGGTGGGGCACTTCCCCTGCCCTCCCCCTCCAAGATGGTCAAGTTCCTGAAGATGCCCACGCCCGGGGAGAAGCCCCAGGGCCCCAATCCTCTGCGCCTGAGCCCCCAGCTCACCCGCAGCTCCAAGATCCCCTGCCGTAGCAACAGCTATGAGCCGTGCCCCTTGCCCGTGCTCAGCCGCAGGGCCTCCCCCGAGGGGCCCGCGGTGCCTGCCTGCCCCCTGCCCCCTGGGGCCAGCGGCCAGGCCTCCCCCAAGGCTGGCAGGCACCTGGCCCCCGGGCCGGCCGAGGCCCCTGTGCATGGCCCCCCAAAGCCCCACGACTACGAGAACGTCTCGGAGCTGTCGGTGGGCGGCCTGGTCTCCCCGCTGGAGCGGCCCAAGGGCTCCCACTCCACCCCGTCGCGAGGCGCCAGGCCAGACGCCCCCCACTGCCCGCCAGAGCTGTGCCCCTACGCCCCTGCCAAGGAGGGCCGGGAGCGGGGCGCTGAGTCCCCGCCGGCCGCCCGCAGGAGTGCTGGGGGCTCCGCCGGGCCCAGGAGGCCTGGGAACAGCGCTGGGAAGAAGCAGCTGGAGCCGGGACACCTGCCGTTTAAGGAGCGTCTCTCGGCGCTGGGGAAGCTGAAGGGGGCCGAGACCGGGGAGCGGAAGGAGGCGCCGGGCCTGGAGAAAAACGCCTGTCCTGGGAAGGCCAGGGCACCAGGCCGGCCCTGCGAGGAGGCGCTGGAGGCCAGGGCACAGCCTCGGCTGGGCGCGGGCGGCAGCCTCAAACACCAGGAGCAGTGCCACGGCGGGGAGCCCGTCGGGCGGTGCTACTCCTCTGGCTCGGTGGGCTCCCGGCTGGAGGCTGAGACCTGCTCCTCGAAGCACTACGCCGCCAAAGCCCGCCAGCCAGGGGCGCTGGGGGCAGCGGGGACCCCCCTGGGCCCCAGGAACCCCCCCAAAGCCCCTCCGGTGCCCCCGGCCAAGGGCGCCAAGAGCCCCCATGGGAGCCCCACCAAGCTGCCCTCCAAATCGCCCACCAAGGCGCCGGCCAAGGCTGGGGCTCCCCGCCCGCCAGCAGAGGAGCCAAGGCCCGGTGGCCCCAAGCCACCCCCCACACCGCCGCCCGGCGCGGGCCGCAAGCCCCCTGACTCTGCCAGGGCCCCGCCCCTGCCTGGCCAAGCTCTGCCCGCGGTCGGCCCCGCGCTGCACTCGGCCATCGAGGAGAAGGTGATGAAGGGCATCGAGGAGAACGTGTTGCGCCGCCAGGGCCAGGACAAGGGGCTGGCGGGCGAGGGGAAGCCGAAGAACTCCAGCGGCATCGCCAGTTGGTTCGGGCTGCGCCGGAGCAAGCTGCCCGCCCTGAGCCGGCGGCCCGAGGGGCTCCAGGCCAAGGAGGAGCGGAAGCAGTGGGGCGGGGCCGCCTCGCCGCTGCGCCGGGAGGGGAAGGTGGCGGCCTGCAAGCTGGAGGCAGAGAGCCTCAACATCTCCAAGCTGATGGAGAAGGCGGAGGACCTGCGCAAGGCGCTGGAGGCGGAGAAGGCCTACATCAACGGGCTGGCGCTGGAGAAGGGCCGGCCCCATGCCTGCGGCATCCTCATGGAGCAGACGCAGAACGAGCTCCAGGTCATGTACCAGGAGGTGACGGCCGAAAACTTCATGCAGCAGCTGCTGAACAGGTACTGGGCGGGGGGAGGGTCTTCGGGGGGTGGGGGGGGGCCGGCAGGGGTGGAAACAGAAGTGCATGTGCCTAGGCAGCGTTCTGGGGGCCAGGACTCCTGGGTTCTCTCCCCGGCTCTGGGAGGGGAGTGGGGTTTAGTGGTTAGAGCAGAGGGGCTGGGAGCCAGGACTCCTGGGTTCTGTCCCTGGCTCTGGGAGGGGAGTGGGGTCCAGTGGTTAGAGCAGGGGAGAGTGGGGGCCAGGACTCCTGGGTCCTATTCCTGGCTCTGGGAGGGGAGTGGGGTCTCATGGGATAGGGCAGGAGGAGGGGGGTCAGGGCTCCTGGCTCCAATTCCCAGCCTTGGCAGAGACTCCCTGAGCCCTCTCTGTGACTCAGTTTCTCCCTCTGTGAATGGGGATCATGCACCAAGCTCAGACGTGCTGAGTGTGAGGGAGGGGAGGGGTTTTCATTCAGGGCCAGTCCTGAGCCCAGACCAGGGAGAGCTGTGTACAGCCTGTAGGGAGGGGCTCTGGGGGTCCAGCTGTCTGTCCTGTCGGCCCCCCGGCGGCTCACATCCTCATGTCTGCAGGGTGGATGGGAAGGAAGCCTATGAGAGCCGGCTGGAGCAGAAGAGGGAGCTCCGGGATTTCCAGAGGGTCTCGCATGACGCCAAAGACCCCAGGCTCTTCCGGCCCCCGCGGAACGGCATCGTCGGCCACCTGCGGAGCTGTGAGGAGACCCCCGAGAAGGTGGGGAGCGCCCCCAGCCTGGCCATGGCTGGGCTCTGTGCCAGGCGGAGGGGAAGGGAACCCCGGGCGCCGTGTTTATCCGTCTCTCTCGTCTCCTTTCCTTTGAAGAGCCCAGACCCGAAACTCCGGGAGGAAATCCCGTCGGACGACAGCCTGGCCGAGTCAGTGAACTCCCAGCACTTCACAGGTGACCCCACACAGGAGCCTGCCCAATGCTGCGAGCGGTCGCGGTTCCGATCTGTACCGAGCCCTGGAGCCTCCAGCTCAGTGGCACAAACTCTGGGTTGGGCCAGGCTAGTTATTGGTGCAGCCTGTGGCCGAGTGGGTGGTTTGGGAGGCAGGGGGTCTGGTGATCGGGAGTTTGGGGGTCTGGACTCCTGGGTCCCGTTCCCAACCTGCCAGTGGTGGGCGGGGCTTGGAGTCAGGAGGGGGCGTGGCAGTGGAGAGTTTGGGCTAGAGGGAGAACTCAGCCAGGGACCCCCCGACCTTGGGTAACTTGCCATGTGTTCTGGCGGGGGGGGGGGGGCCAGCCGAGGGGGGGTGGGTCTTGGGGTCAGGAGGGGGCGTGATGTGGTGGAGGTCTGGGGGGCAGGAGGGGGTGCGGGGCTAGGGGCCGGATTCAGCCAGGGACACCTGGTGACCTTGGGTAACTTGGCAGGTGTGCGGTGGGGGGGGGGGGTGGCCTGCCGGTGGTGGGCGGGGCTTGGAGTCAGGAGGAGGCGTGGCAGATGAGGGTGGGCGGAGCTAGAGACAGGACTCAGTGGAGAGGGGGTGACCTTGGCCATGTGTTCTGTGTGGGGTGAAGTGCTCTAAGATGGGCTGTGGGGAGGGACTCCAGGAGGCCCGTCTGGGCTCGCCCGGCCTGCTGACTCCACCCTGGCCTTGTTGCTCACAGCGTGTGGCTCCCTGACACGGACCCTGGACAGCGGCATCGGCACC